TCTCGAAACAGTTTTCTGGACGAAATATTAAGTAAACTAACAAACCCTTTATTCAAGGTGAAATTTCATACAAACGGAAGCATTTTCTTATTTTGAAGCCTCTATTTGCATTTGTTCGCAATTCTCAGGCAGTCAATTCTGTGCTGACGTGTACCTTGAAGTCCTATTCACAGTTTCGTCGTCTGAATGAGGATAAAGCAACAAAGTGTCGTTCTTTGCACGCTTATGCACTTGTTACGAATATGTGTCTGTTTTTGAATGAAGAAGGTGATGCTGAGAACTGGATTTTTCAGTACTTTATCCAAAAGTGACTATACTGAGGTCGCCGTTACGTATATAAATCGAATGCTTCTTGATAATCGGCAAATCCAATCCGTCTTTAAAGTATCTCATGACTGAATAGGTGAATTGGACTGTCTTCACACCCAAATATGATACTGGGCATGGCCAGCATACTTGATAATTCTTCCTGTCATATGTCGAAATCTGTGGAGATATGTGAGACAGAGTAAGCAATGAAACATTTGAATAGCTGAAATTCATTGTAGTTTACTTATTCGAATAAACAGCACTTAGAGATGATTGAGTGTTATTCGTCATTGTGTGACTTGTGGATTTCGTAGATAAGTTGGAATGTGGTGAAGGTGACAGGTAAACAAAGAGAAGCTCAACAGTGTCAGTTGTGTATTGCAACAGCGTACATATTCAAGTGGTAGTTAGGCAAAACGGCAGTATGGGAAAACAACAAGCGTTCAGTGCGATTCCTCGACTTTTATTAAGCCTTGAAATATAATGAAATTCATCTTTGCATCATTTTGAAGAATCCTCTAGATTCACAGTTATCCACCGGAGAGGCATTTCTGACTGTTGCGTGGAAGTGTACTCGGAATACACTTTTGCTGTTTGTAACATCATTTGTTGTTTGTAAAGTGGCTAGTTCTCAGGTATCTTTATGGCCAGCTGTCACAGCGGTTTCAAATTATGTAAAACAATTTGAAAGTCTTCTTTGTACATGAAACTCTGATCCATCAATTCAGTTCTTGTGTGAATTACTTGTTCCACATCTACAAAATAATACAAGTAATACAGAGTGATAGATTCTTTTGAAGGATGGTACCGTGATCCACATAGCAGATCACGGTGTCTTTTCAGGAAGTGTTCGCGGTCCGCTCACCGCAACACAGTGATAATGGTTTCACTAAGTATACATATCAGAATAACTGATGAATGCAGTTTGTTACATAAGCTTTAGCGGAGACTTATTTCCCTATGCATTTGGGAAACCGATATATTCTGGGGTCGACCACCTAAATTTTGCTCAGCCAAGGTTAAATTTGCATTGACAAATGTGACGCTTATTCTTATATGCTTCTAATTCACAGGTATTTCAATGGTTCTCTAACTGATGATAAAATCCTGTACCCAATCAATCGAATCCTTACAAACCCATAATTGAATAATTATTTCATCCTGAGAGGACGGTATAGCACAAAAGCCGTACACATTCTAAAGCTGGATTCGAAATACTGTTGCAAGACGAGGGTTCTCAGGCAATAATTTCTAAAATGATCAATCACTTCTTGATTTATATTTGTCTTGACTATTTTCAAATCTCCTGGTTGTTTATATTTATCGTCAAATATCGAACTATGCTTAGTCGTTATGACTAGCAGATCGTTGTTTCAATGACGCAATAGGCCTAAAGTTCAATCCTTGCATAAAATGAATAGTCGGACGCATCCGCCACGCTGAAACAACCCAACTTACAGCGCTCACTGATAACCACTTTGGTTAAAGCCCATATCATTTAGATATGTAGGGAACTACAATAGATTGCTGGACGATGTCATATTAACCAACTAATACACCCAAAAACACTCGCGCAGTATTTTTGAGTAACATGAAAACACCACGTTAGGAGTAATAAAATGTACATCTAGTGAGTAACTTGTTTTCTTAAGGCAACTGTCCCTGGCTGATAACATAATGAAGTCGACCACTTTTTCTTCAGGCCAGTTGTATTTCATTATCACTTACTGCTGTGCAAATTTATATCAGTATTAAGTGAAATTAATTTAGTTTTCATGCATTCATGGGAGAAAGGTGGATTTGCAAGTCTCCTTTCGTATTATCTAGCCTGAATCGAAAGTTTAAATTTTGCCGCGCTAGAAAAACACAATATTTCCCTGCCCCCCCCACATATTTTAAACATTCGAGAAGTAATTCGGAACAAAGATTCGCTGAATAACTCAGGCATAGTGACATTTGGACATTTAGCAAACTAGCAGCCTTAAATCACAAAAATGGTGGAGCGTATTCGTTGTCTAGGTAAGGAAAATTTCAATATAATCAATGATAGCAGTACCAATAAGAGGTTGATGACCAGTAACAGCTGTAATTCAACCGGATATGGGTTTTACTCAGTCATACTCACGAAGCGTGTTTAAATCATTCAAAGAAATTATAGACTCAGAACTCTCAGTATCAGTCATGAGACACTGAAACTTTCCTGAACTTGTGATAAAGGTTTTCATCAGGCTACAATGAATACTGTGGAATATTGGGAGAGTAATTGACTGCATATCACCTTGAAATTGAGAGAATCATGCGAAATCTGAGAAACGCAAGCGCTCGAACTCCGGAAAGGAGACTTCATTTGGCTAATCTCGTATCTTGAAAACGACAAGTGCTTCGTGGATGAATCTCTCATATGCTAAACATGGTTCAATATTTTTGCCTTTTTTCTGCAATCTATCAGTTGTCGATGACAGATTGAATTTCGATTCATGAAGACTTGCATTAACAACCACAGACAGCAGTACATCAGTCATTGGTGTGTTGTGAGCTGGGTATTCAATGTTGACTTCGCCATATGTAATACATAAATCGTTAGCAGTTCGGAAAGTGGAGGAAGGAATAAGAACCAGCACTTTACCTAGTTTCCGAATGATAATACCATCAATTAGACGATTGCGTGGTTCAGTTCGTATGTTATCAACAAATTCTCGCTTGAAGCTGGTATCAGAAGCTGTTGAATAAAATTTCGAATGTATCACTTGTGGGCAGGAGCGTGTTTTTTGAACTCAGACGTCTCTCTTGTTTCAAAAGAAGTGCCATAGATTTCATGTATAAGGAGTCGACGGAGCTCATCATTTTGCAGATAAATTGATTCATATTGAAACACGAGAGTTACAGAAGACGTTACGAATCCAGGCCAATCTCAATAATGAAATGAGCTGAAAGTTTGACATCACGATCTTTATTCGACACACAACAGGTATCCAAGCATTCCAGGTAATTGGCGATTTCCCACGACGAATGGTGGACAGAAAACTTCTCAAGATTATTCAGTTATTTACAGTTATTAATAGTTGCATTTCACAATGACCGAATCACAGGAAACAAGGCAACAACACAAATGGGGTAGAATGCAGTCACTTATAAGCCTGAGATGAGAGGCGAGTTCGCGTCAGAATTGAAGGAATCTCTGGGCGCCATTGTTAGTAATATGTGCATGCTAATGTTCACGAAATTAAACACTTTGATGGCAATACTAGTGAATGTTGAATGTCTTCCAGCCAGTTTTGAAAAGCAGTTGAGAGTTAATTGCCTGAGATGGAAAAGAGTTTGACTTATCTTCTACATCTTATTGTGGAAAGACAAGAGAGGCTGTTGAAGCACGTGTAGCATTTCCTCCAGACGTCAGTAATGAAATAGCCATGCAGATACTGAATGATTCATTTGGACAAGAATATGCAAATGCTCGTTCAAGTTCTGGAAAAATTATAAGAGGTTCTGAAGCCGTTAGTTTGACTGAAATTTTCTTCCTCATTTTGATTCAAGATTCCGTTACGCCCATATCATGCTGGAGAGCATCAGATGCTTTTCTTATCTGGACTGTCTCATAAATCTAGAACGAATTTTCAGCAGACTAGCAATCAAAATGCGGGCGAAATGGGTTGATGTTGCTGGTTGAATTTTGGTGGCCAGTAAAGTGCTAGAATCCGAAGACCTAGTGTGGTTTGTAGAGGGGAGAGTGCGATTGCCCTAAGCACTTTTCGGAATGTTCGTTGGGCGCAACGCGGACATCAACTAAGAGAAGTCTGCAGGGAGTGGGTATCCTGTGTCTCCTTTTATTGTAGTTCAGTAGTACATTGCAAGGCGACCTGACAGTATTCAAGGAAAACCTAAAGGTAGCATCTTGTGTGAAGTTTCTCTTTGCTTGGTGAAATGAGCTGAAACCAAATAAATGACCGTCGAAGAGAGGAAACAAACTGCTGGGAAGCTAAGTTTCTTACGCTTGACTCAAATTAGGCCACATCGCAATGTAGTGTTATTCATGAAATAAGCCAAATGTGAATGCATGTAAGATATATGTATGACAGGGTGCGGCTTGATGATCAACTGTTTGAAAAGAGACACTTTGCTGAATCACTCCCTCTGATTTTCCTCATTTCCCTATTCGAATTTCAAAATAGGATGTTTATTTCACAATGCAGACAATATCTATCAGTGAAAATATTATCTCGTCATCCTGCTGTTAGTGTTATGACTTTAAATTACAGAAATCTGGAGATTAGTGAATACGTAACTGACGCAACTGGGATCAGCGATTCGATCCATCACTATGCTACCTCAATGATGCGGCTAAGATCAGTACTGTCAAATGTTTGCATTCCTATTGATGAGGTGGCGAAATCAGGTTGAATGGTGGCCTATTCGATCACATCGTGTTCAAATGCATGGAATTTCAATTCTTCCATATTAAATATAACCTTCCAGGAGGCCAATGAGCAGCGCTGACGCTCCTCATGACATAAGGTGAATTTGGCTGATCTCGATGATACTGTTGTCAATTAAAAATCCCACCAACTGATGAATTGAAAAGTTGAATTATATAAAATCCAGGTTTAATGTAAATAAGTTAGCTTCGATTGGTGTGCTAATGACTCAGAATGAGAACACCGAATCCATCTGACCAGTAGGAATAAGTTAAATATTTGCGTGAATAAAATGTATTTAGAAGACAGACAGTTAACATTATAAAGAAAGTGAATTATTTAATTAAAAGTGTTCATGAAATCCACTGCACAGCAGTACATTTCAATAATGTCCAGAAGACACGTTTCACGGTCTAGCGTGAGGAAGAAATTCATATTCTCTTCTAGTTTTCTCTTCCCGCTCCTGTTGAAAAAATGAAAGATGGTGAGCATTATTGACTTCATGAAAGAGCAAGAAACGCTGAATGTTATGAGTAAAGGGAGAAACACGAATGAATCGACCAGTATTCACTATCGGTGTGAATAATTTGACTTGAAGAAGACACGTCATTCCTCACCCAGAATGACAGATAGTCAGTGAGTGCAGTCAACTTCATCCAATCGCATATTTCAGATATCTTAAACGCATTTATTCGCGCTAATGTGCGTGTGTCTCTGTGGCTGTGGGTGTGAATGATGGTGTATTGGGAATTTCTGACGTGGTTCAAATCTACTTGACCACAACTGGTCTTCACTCGAGAAGAAGTAGTCGATTGGGTTTTGTTGAATGTGAAGTCTGTGATACACTGCATGATTGCCTTCAAAATACTAAATGTGATTTCAGATGATATGATATGACATGAGTAAATTGGTGATCCAGCGATGATCACACAAACCCTGTCTCTGTTGTTCAACATACAAATTTCAGTTAAACATATTTATCTATGTAGGCAGGATGTCAGTTTCTCTCATCAGTCGATTTTCAAGAATCAAATGTGCGGAGTTCGTATTAGATAGTAGGTTAATCTTACTTTCCAACCTCTCGATGGCAGTCTTGTGAATTTTTCTGAGCACTTGAAAAAAAGAGCAATGTAAAAGTGACATATTAGTCAAAAAAGCAAGCTTTATTCATCAGCTTTATTCATGCGTAGACTCCTTGTCCTACATTTGACAGGATCTGACAAAGCCTGGAGTAATTAAATGCATTGGATAATTTCCTTTGTCTAGAAGATGTTTGATGCAGGACATTTCTTGCTCAATCTGTCAACACTGCCTCTATTGTGAAACACTCATGTGTAAGTAAGTCACTGGTAATAAACTGGGAGGCAGCGGTTATTCCAAAACCTTCGTTGCGATAACGATAAACCATCGTTGTCATTGTTGCTTTTGATTTTCACAAATGTATTGATTTATCTACCTGACGCGTAATAGCACACACGTGAACACATCGGGAATTTTCTCCGCTACTAAATTCCTTTTATCTCTGTCACATAATTTAACTACATTTTGCGCAAACACGAATACTGATCTGGTTCCTTCCTAACATTTCCACTCTGAGTAAGCATGTGCTTCAGCCACTGTGTACCTTAACTTTCGCCTTTGCATACTGATGATTGCCGTCTGAGCATTGATCCCTTAATGTACTTCTCAGCCTATGCTAGTTTCTGTGATCAGTGGACATTCTTCACTGAATACACCTATATACAAGCAAATGTTGTGCACCGGCTACTAATTAATGCACAGTTGTCTGGAAACCTCGATATTTCAAGACAAATGTATTACTGATTTCAGTTATAAATACATAACCATTGTCAAGCGAACAATGTTCACGTAATCCTAAAGGCTTATGAGCGGAATCTTTTGTGCTTTGTTTCTGTGATTAGATATTAATACATAAATAGAGTGTGTAAAACCCATGGACAAAACAGATTACACTTACAGATGTATAGGCCATACACCCTTCTTTCAACATATGAAGCTTCTACTGCATCCTTCAATTTCTGAATATCTGAAATTTGGATGATCATGCCTTTATTTTTAAAATCAATGTCACAGAATCAAATAGTGAAAGGTGATCATGCAGAATACTGTGAAATATCTTGTGGTTTGGTTCAGTGTGTTTAAGCAGATGACTAGCCAGTCTATGTGATCATTCAATCGAATGCTGATCATACAACCTCTTTGAAGACAGTCAAAACACCTTCGAGAAACGCTTACATGTGCTCATTATTTCTTATCATGTGTTGAAATCAAATAATTTCGACTTCCTCGTCATCGGTGGGCTGACAACTCTATCTTATATGACAATTTACAGGAGTGTTTAAATTACATGAACTGCAGTCTCAACTACATCAGACAATGTCACAGACTTCAGAATCCACGTCATTTCACCCTACAGATGTGATGTGTGATAGCAAATGTAAAAGAAGAGCCTTCTGGTTGTGCACTTAATATTGATATTGTAACGTCCCATTCACTGACAACACTAACAGATTGAAAGCAAGATGTATTATGTGAATGAGTGTGATATGAGAATAGATTTGACCTTCGAAAATTAACCCGATGAATTTCGGAAACTCATTTCCAGCATCTTCCAAGTCAGTGATCTTACAGAATATAATACATATGTGAGTTGTCCAAAACGGATTACCTTCTATGCTTCCTGGTGGTTTAAACTGATCACAGTTATCTCCTCTTGCTACATCCATCCTAGCTGATGAAGAAATTGAGGGAAAAGAACAAGTCATTGAAACAACGAGAAGGGAAACATTCACTGAAAGTATCATTACCAATAAAAAGGCATGCAACTACAGACATATCAGAAAGTAAACCATCACACCAATCTTTTTGATGTGGTTTTGTTCTCTGAGCTGGATGGTTAGTTCGCGAAGCTTTCATCACCTTACTGGGTGACATCCTCAGCGCATACTTCAATTTGAAGTGAGCTTTTAGATTTCTCCACGAGTTTATTAATCATCTCTCCTGGTGACCTTGGACGTGATGGGTTGTTTGTGTGTGTTTTCACACCTTCTAGGTTACTTGTATTGGAACCGGTTGTTTCTTTGACTTGAACTTTGACCCTTTGTGTGTGAAGTTTCTTTCTTATTGGTTGATAAATTTTGTCTATCTCGATGTGTCTATTGATTGATGATTCACTGGAATATCAGCCAAGCTTCTAAAAATTCTCTAGCATTCTTGTTATTTCCTCTGTCTAATATTTGAACGTTGTCCCAGTCGAATTGATGTCCGTAGTTGCGATCACTCCATCAACTCTGCTATCCGATTCCTAGAGAAAATCAGAGGCATCCAAATAGATGAACAAGAAATAATGGTATCATTCGACTTGACAGCATTATATACAACCATCGGACAAAACCTAGCAAAAGAAACCATGGAGCAATTACTTAGCAACGACGAACAACTGCCACAACAACGGTAAACAGAGGAATGACAGCCCAAATAAGTAAAATATTCAAGGTTTATTGTAGTTGAAACAAACATTTTCAGATTAATAAGCATCTCCAATATCCGTTATGGACGGGATCACATTAACTGAATGCGTAATATTTTGACGAATTTGGAATTGTTCGAGGATATGAGGCTGTGAATTTTGTAGATTGAAATCAACCAATATTTTTCTGGCCAGTCTAGGTTAATTTACTGGTTGTGTTAATTCCGGAAAATATTATTCACCAGAATAAAAGTGAGGTAGGTAAGTCCTGTTTCCACGTTCCAGTGAACGTCACTTCAGATGCATCACCCGCCAAGACAAAAATTTAATTACTTTCTAATCACCGTCTATTTGGACATTTATTTATGCAAATGCACACACATATGAGCAGCAGAACTATCCATCACATGCAGAAACTGATATCTTGAATATAGCCCCCCTGTTGTAATTTTGATATTTTGAAAGGGTGCTCATTCAGTCTGGCGTGAAAAGGATACTGTGAATTGATAGCGTTAGTTTTGACCTGTGCAGGTGTGAAGCCTGATGACATCTGACTGACAATCATACACCAAATGATGTACTATAGTTATCATCACTGGAATATTTTAATCAATGGATGCCTGTGAGCATCATAAAGCGTTGAAAGTATAAGTTTAGATGTCAAATTTATTCATCGGAATACAGAGCTGTCATTACGCTTTGAAGAATATGAATTATCTTGGTAACTGTTTCATGTGAGAGTATACCGAAAATACGCTTATATCATTCATACATTCCAACACCACAATGTTTGTTGGCAGCTTGTCATGTGTATACTCAGGTAGATAAATGATTAACACTTCGATCGAATATCTGTAAAATTTCGCCAATCTCATGTAATCATTCTTTGTGTCGGAAATGCAGCGCTGATGGTGAATTCATCAAATTTATAAGAATGTCATAACCTTAATTTAACATTCTATGTGAGTGATAATGGACTTGACTAAGTCAAGAGATCTGGTCATTCAGCTCCTTGTTTATTTCTAATTTCCTGGATTACAAATACTAACTATTTGGTCAAATGATAATTCAACCTGATAATCAGAATAATCGGATATCACCGATTGATTCTGAGGATGTATGGGTGTGACCACCGTCTAATCATCGTCTATTCAAAAAATTGACGATGACGACATTCTGCTCGTTGGTTTCACATATCTACTGTAGAAATTTCACGGATGCTTTGATGCTAGCACTGTGTTATTGAAGTAAGAAGTTATGTATACATTCTAAACACTGGCACTCATTATTGATCGTACGGAATTTCCTGCCTGCCCATTGAATTTAGGATGACGCAGTGCTGTGTACAGGTGATAGCAGCCCAACTGAGAAGCATTTTCAGTAAAAAGGACATCAAGAATTCATTCACGACTGAAAATCTCTCACAGAGACGTGTGTGACAATTTTGCGTTAGGACTATTTGTATTTATCATTTATGATCGCCTGGAATAACAATACAAGCGTGGTAGGAATTAACGAATGAACCACAGTAATCCGAGTGAATGAACTTCCGAATCTCACAATATCTCGGACGCCACGGTTTCCACAATGACTTGAACTGGGTAACCAAGTAACAACTAATGCCTGTGAATAATTAACCGTATTTGCTATAACATACTCTGACTATATGATTTCATGATTTTGAATTTCCATCATGATATTTCTTCTGTTACCGAGCTCACAAAATTTTCGACTTCACATTTCTTGTAGTATGATTACCACATAGGATCCTTGATCATTCCTACGAAAATAATTTTCACCAGAACTCATAGACACTAGGTAGCTTCGGAGAATTCAGGATTTGATTAGCTTAGCATGACTTTCATTGTTATTTGTATTTGAGAATCCGAATAGAGATATTGAAGTAGGAAGTTATCTTCTCGTCACTCCAGCTTCAAAGGACTCACTGTGACACTCATTGATCTTCGTACTGAATTTTCTGCTAGCCCGTTATGTTGAAGTCGAATAAGGAGATTAAGTGTCACACAATTCGTGTAATCAGCTCACATCAACATGTCTTGGTTAATTTCGAATCACTGAGAGTGCGGAATCGGTGAGCGAGTGGGAAAATAGATATAACTTATATCTCAAGTTGGAATCCGCCTACAAAATTTGAACGGAAGAAAGTAATTGCGATCACATATTGGTTGAATAACTCAGGGAGAAGGTGTCACTATAACACTCAGCAATCTAATTGCCTTCAAACCAAGAAGGGATGGAACATATTCCTTTACAAAATAAGGGAATATTCCCAAGACGACCACTTTCTGATTTCGATGCAACCGATGTTGGCACTACATATAAGAGGTAGTCTTTGACCAACTATTCTTGTAAATGAAATAGTTTAAGTGTTGATTTGCATATGCTTACAAGATGATATTAACTGTCTCGCAGAAATTATAGACTCAGAACCCGCAGTACAAATGTGAAAGAGTGAAACGTGCCTGTACTTATGGTGAAGGTTTGTGTAACAGTGAGACAGCTATTCCTTATCTCCCTCAAACTGTCACTGGTGTTGTTTACATTCTCCACTTCCCAAAACCTCGACAATTATTCCCCTCCTTGCATTCATAATCATAAATATCTGCTGCAAGTATATTCAATGAACACCAGTAAGAATACAGAAGCTTGCACATTCTATCTGGAAAGCAATCGGTTTACGTGTAAATGAACTTTGTCTCGACACATCCATAGTGAGGTGATGGACTAAATAGCTCTGCTAAGAAGTGAGAACGAATTATTTGATGACCGAGCGATTCATTCTAAGATGAAATAGCCTGTTGCTCGTTTATTTCAATTGAGGATATCGTGTTGATACGGTCGATAGGAGAGATATGCAAACAGATTTTGTATTCATTCCTACAATGAAATTGACACTATACAGAGATGTTAGATAAGGTGTCGCGCTACTGGATTGTGTACTGGTTTCATCATTCATCCAGGAGTATTCATTGATAACTGCACAAACAAAAACACATTTCTGATGGGTTTCCAACAAACTGTTGTGGAACAATCGAGAGGAAAATATCTCCGAGGATGTGATTTGTCGGCATATGCAAAAACACTGCCTCACATACCGTAATGCTGATTGGTATTTCACTTGTCGACCCTGCAAGAAAATGAATTATTTTGCAAGAGAACTCACGGGGAATATCTGTACTGTGTGTTACCACAGTATCTGAAGGGAAGCCTTCATTTAATGATGACCATTGGTGATTTTGTTGATTAGGAATCCTTGACATAGAAGATGTGGATGGTTTGATAGATTGAGACAATTCACCACCTCCAGTTCATTCTAGTTTGTAGTGACCCGAAGCGATGTGTTTTGATGTGGACTGAGGAAAGCAATTTGGTTTCTACTATATACAGCTAAATTCCAAGTGGGGAAGGGAGTGAGGCAAAGGTGTCTACTATTGCCAAAGATCTTCCTGATTGCAGTAGACTGGATAATGTGACAGACAACAGGCAATGAGTAAACAGGAATAAAATAAACTCACACAAAAAACATGGGGGATCTGGACTTCGCCAATGATATATGTCTGATTTCCAAAAAACTGGAAGATATGCAAGTGAAAAGCATCAAGCTGGCACAAAAAGCATAACAGATAGGACTTCAAGGGAATAAATAAATAAAGCAGAGGTGATGGAAATACCAGGCCAACACCAACAGCAACAAAAACAGAAAACAATCAGCCAGCAAAAGTGGGAAGAACCTGAAGGGAAAAAACTTCTTTAGGTACCTGAGAAGTATCGTTTCAACTACAGGCGGAATTGACGAGCATATCAAAGCCAGAAAACAGAAAAGCAAGACAAGCTTTCATTACCCTTAAGTCTGTGTGGAGGTCAACGGCCGCCACCATCAAAAATAAGATCCGGATTTCCAACTTTAATGTGAAGTCAGGGCTACTTTACGGATCAGAGACTTGGCGAATCATAAAGAGTATCTCCAACAAACTTCAGACAATCATCAACAGTTGTCCTCGCTCAATACACAAGATCAGGTGGCCGGCCAGAAGAGATCAGCAACAGGGATCTCTGGCCATGAGCGAACCAACCAGGAATCTATTGTGAAACAAATAGGCAGGAAGAAATGGAGATGGATTGGTCGTATACTGAGGAAAACATCAAGTGACCTCACTGGAAAGGCCATTGCTCGAGTGGAACCCGAAAGGGAAGCTCCGAGTTGGTCGTAGGTTCAAGGGTAACTTGGAGGAGAAGAAGTG